TCCTGCCGGCCGGGAGGAGCCGGGTTTTGTGCGGGGACTGGGAGCAGATTTTGATTTATTTTCTGTCCTGCTTGCGTGTTATATATTTGAACGAGCACGAAGCAAATGCTTTTCATTCTCATGTTCAAAAGAGTGATCCAGGCAGCTGTTTGTAGGGCAGCGTGGGGTTTTATTGGGCTGTTCAGGGTGAATTTTCTTGATTATGTCACAATGCCAAAAGCGAGGGGAAGGATGCGCCTAAAGATATTGAACAATGAGACAGTATAAATATGAAATTCTGTAAGCAGTTTGCTTGCAGCTATTATATTAAAGCATTATAATGTGTCTGAGAGGAGTTTAGACTGGTGGTCAAGGCTGGATAAAGCATTTGTGATAGGATTTGATGGAAAGATTTATTTTCAAGGTTGTCTTTTTTTTTTTTTTTTTTTTTTTAATGAATCACTGGATCTGTTATATGTCATACTGTCCACAGGAATGGCTCTCTGTTCCTAAGCAGACAATTATTTCAGTTCTGTCTCCTGGCTGGCCACTAGGATTGTAATAGTGGTGTGCTGGAGAACCTGCATTACTTCACTGGGTCAGCAATTACAGTCTCACTTTTTTTCCAGAACTGTTCTGTGACAGAACACTTTGCTATATTGATCTTTCTGTCCTCAGGAAAAAATACAATTACTGATTTTTGAAATAGTACTGCAACAATGAATGCATGTGCTAGTGATCTTCGGTGATTACTCTATATCACATGATTGTGATTATTCTTATCTTAATAACTCAGCTGTGTTTTAAGCAGCTGAAATTTATGAAGGAGTGGTCACGTTTCTGCCATGAATGCAGAGAAGCCTTGTTCTGGAAAGTTAGAGTTTTGCCTACAATTCTGAAAAGTTTATTTCCTGTGTCTGTCTCCTACACTGTGTGACGACTGTGCAGTTCAGTGCTAGAAGAGCCACTGTTGACTTTAGTTATGGTGATTATTTTTTTTCTTTCACCTCTTTTATCTTGCTGGAAATACCTGGGTATTCTTAAAATATGTGTTTAATAGTGTAAGTTGCTCACATACCTTAAAAGTGTGAACTTCAAGAGATCCTCTTGATACTGATTTAACATTCAAAGAAGGTAGAAAGCTATTTGTTCTATTCAGAATTTGACTTTCAAAGAGTCTTCTCTTTCACTCTAGCAATCTATGAAGACTGATGAATGAAGGGTTATGTGATCACTTTGCAGCATATTTTTAGTTCCTCTTAAATGTAATGAAATAAGAGAGAGTTACTTAAAATAGTTACAGATTCCTAAAGGATCATTGTGATTTGGTGGCTGCATTACTCAAAATATAGATGTCTAAGACTGGTCACATCAAAATTCTCACTTTCAGAGGTTCCTGAGTTGCATCTTAGCTTGCTTTTCCATACTGATTTTGTTAGGTGGCTGATTTAATACATCTTAATTCAATGTCACTCCCCAAGTATATGTAGAAATAGTTTTTCAGGTTGGCATTTTATTTGTAATTGATGAACATTATTGACTGACACGTTTCAAATCAGGAGTTCGTACTTAAAACTTCAAATTTTCTGCTAAGGTGTTCTAGTTGTAATAAGAATTTACTGGTGAATTCTTGAATGAATCTGTGGCAAAAAAAATGTAAGTAGTGAATATTATGGGAATGTTAAAGACCAGACTGTAGTACTTGAATGGCCTGCTGTCTTGATCAAGTGCTGTGCGGGAAGAAAAATGACAGCTGCTTGAAAAATTTTTTATCTTCTTACCTCTTGAGACAAATGCAATGCTGGCTGTAGAGTTTTGCCTTAAGGCAAAAATCATCTCTGAGTTGGGAACTGACTACTGGAATGTATTTCTCCAGAGGGTATGTGACCCAGAAATGTATCCAAAGTTGATGGCATTTTCTGAAAATGCTAAGAAGCTTTTTTTTGTAAAACTTTGTGCGAATTATTGTTGATTAGGTGAACTTGACAAAGGGCTGATACAATTTCACTTGTCTTTCTGTTTCTTAGCTTAGTTTTAGTTAAAGAATGAAGTGTGCAAGTTTGTATGTCTTGTCCTTACAAGAAGAATGGGGGAGGGCAAGGACCCTCATCTAAGAAGCTAAAGTAACGAAACAATAGTATTAAGTATTTTCAGTCTAAAGTATATAAATCTAGGAACATAGATTTATATTTAGATATTTTACAAGTGTCCAAAAGGAGGGCTGTTGAATGTATGTACCAGGATCTCTGCAGGCTGGGTTACAAGAAGTTATGATGTGTGTGTAGAGCAAGATGCTATTTGATAGTGTACAGTCTGTTTAAATCACAAATAACTGTTTGACAAAAAGATTAGACTTTTTCATCGCAAAACAATTTTTCTCCTGAAAAAAACCTCATGTTCTTCCTATCTCCTCATGGTTTGATCAGACCCTGGCTTTTTTTGCAAGGTGTGAGTGGCTTACTAAATATTTATTGGCAATTCCTTGCTAATTCATGCTACTGTTGAAGCATCCTCGTGTATAAATTCTTAATACTTTAAATACAGCAAATCAATAAATTTGCTTCCTCTGTGTTTTACATCTGAAGCTAAACACCCTTCTGAGATACATTAATGCATAAATGAAAAAAGAGACTTTACTGTGGCTTTATATGTGACAAGAATATGATCTTCTAACTTAGATTATAAAGAGAATTCCTACTGTTACTTTTTTTTTTTCTTTCATAACACCTTGCCATTCTTAAACTGTTTTGCATTTCTTTTTTCACGTCTATAAACAGTATGTGTTCTTTTAAGTTTGGAAATCATTTCTTTCATGATGAAAGTATGTTTTACTATAGACACCGTTATAGCTGGTTATGTTGGTGCTATAGAGACCATCTGATGTAAGTTTTGATGTTGCAGAATAATTCAGAATTACTGTCAGTAGCTTTTTTTCTGGATAGCCTTATGCACATTGACTGCTCCGTGTAGTCTGTCATTTAGTGCAATCTCATTTAGTAGGCTACTGGTATGAAGATTTTAATTCATACCAGTTCATTCTGCACTTGGAAGCTGTATTAAGCAGGGAGGGAGATACTGTATGCTGAAAATAATTTTGAGGGAATAGATTTAAGGTAGAGCATTAACATTCAATAAGGAACAAATAAAACTATCCGTATGCCTTTGACAAATTGTGCCCATTCTTCTGCGTCAGTTGACTATTATCCAGTGGTAAATCCTGAAGAAATATGCTGTATGAAACCAAAAGCAAAAATTTGGGGTTGTCTTTTCCTTTCCACCCTCCCTTCCTTCCTCCCTCCCTCATATTTATTTATAAAATATTTATGTGCTTGCATCACTGACCACCTGCAGCATGAGCTGCCGTTCTACGTTGCCACTTAGAGCGAGAAAACATTTCATTGTGATGATTGCCTAATTGGCAGTATCCAACTGAGAGAGTAAGGACAGTACATAATGTACAGATGAATGCTTAACAGCAAGTAGTCCCAGGAGTGTAGCAAATACTAGCTTTAAGTGGAATTTGTAGTTTGTTTTGAAATAATGGATAGATAGTCTTGGTGAAAAGCCATATAGAAGTTGTTTTAAATGAAGACAATAGAACTTCAGTGGTTTTGCAGATTACAGGATAGTATATAGTTGATAACATCAACTATTCTTAGTTTTAATTTCTGTGTTACGTAGAGAATTACTGGTTTCAAATAAGGCTCAAAAAAGTCCAAGTACTTTCATTCATACTTTATTGGTCATGTAATTTTACTACTGTATTATACGCTATATTTTAAAAATTTGTGTGAAGTATTTCTAACAGTATGCAAATATGTAGCAGTTATTTTTTAGTTAAAATACTTTTTGTGTAGATAGGCCTTGTGTTGATAGACCTTCTTTATACTCCAAACCAGAATTCAGTAATTTTTTACTGTTCAAGAAACACTTTAAAAAGTCCTTTTCTAAAAGGAAAAGGGCTTTTTTAGTGCCTGCTAGTTTTAGACTACTTGTAATATATCAGATGGATGTTAATTGCACTTTGCTCATAAATTGAGGTGTAATAGGTGATGCAGTTGGTGATTCTTTGCTAGAAAATAATCTGTTTAAATAATAATCAAAGAACATGGAATGACAACTTGTACATGGAAAGAAACATGTCTAGCGGTTTGGAGTTTTTCACCTGACTGTTCAGCATTATTGCTTCTTGGAGATCACAAATTTTGTGACAAGCTAGTATTTTCTGTATGGTCACAATAATTTCTTCTTAATCCTTTGCTTTGTGTTCCACTGCGGTAACAAGCAATTCTGTTTTCAGTGGCATTGCTGATCTCTTAGCAGCATCCCAGTATTCATTGGAAATGTCTGGGGTTTTTACTGATTATAAATTTGAACTAAGCAGATTGTTTTTAATCAAGTTAAGAAGTACAGTATAGGTGTAATTCTGCTTTTAAGGTGTTGATTGTATGTATGTTTTAAAGTACGTTAATACTATTTTCTAAAAAGTCACAGCAGTAATATTGGAATTATTGACTGTGCTGTGAAGGTGGCTTGGCCATTTAGGTTCCCATAAACATCACAACTGCCCCTAACTGGGCTGTTTTTGCATTAAATTAGAACTCACATTTATTAATGAGCTCTGGGTTTGGTTTCTTTGTACTGGGACTTTTTTTTTTAAAAAGATGATAGCAATGGATGATCCCAGAGGTACTCTGCAAAATTAATGAATTCTTAATTTTGAAGAGTAGAATTTAGTTGAAACATTAAAAAAAAAACCGAGTGTGTGTAATTCAGTTTGTCAAAATAGCTGTATTATCTACAAGGTGTATATGTTTTGACCAAATTTAAATGAATTGTGCCCCTCTTGGAGTCACTACTTCTCAGTTTAAAGAGCTGTAAATGTTAATTTACAAGGTAGCACTGCTGCCATAACAATAAATGATTTACTAATGACACTTCAGATTTACTTACATGCTTGAATGTGTTTGAATGTGTTCAATGTATTGGACACTAAGGATCTCTCTTCATTTTTTTTCTAGCAAGACCTCATGACTTCTTTGATGCGCAAACACTGGATGCTATAAGACATCGAGCCATCTGCTTTAACCTCTCAGCACATATAGAAAGTTTAGGAAAAGGCCACAGTGTTGTGTTTCATAGTACTGTAAGTATATACGTTTTGCATTCCGTTTGTTTATGTGTCTGAAAAATCTAATGCTTCATAAAGATTTCTGTGTTCCTTTTACTGCTTTAGGCATTTAATCAGAAATAAGTAGTAGCAGGTATTTTACATTGTTGATCTGTCTATTTCTGTCCATTGATTTGTCTATTAGTAAATTAACTTTTTTAAAGTGGCATTAGTAGTTGTTCTAGCTCACAAACTGAATATCTTGCAACATTTCCTGTCTGATACACTTGGGGAAATATCTAACAGCAAGTATGTGTTGCAGAAAATTTGGGTATATCTTCTAAATAAGAATCCAAATCAGACACCATTTCCATAGTTGTGAGTGACAGTGCTAATTTAGCACAAGGAATTTTGAGGGTACTTTTATAATTAAATAATCAGAGATGCTGATCTGAAATTTGTGTTTATCCTTTTTTTTTTTCCAGTTTAAAAGAGATAATCCTGAATAAATGTATCCCTTTTTTTCTTTATTTTTTTCATAAACTTACCACCACGATGTCAGTGAAATGCTAGGAGGAGGAAAGTACCAGGGGGGAAACTGGTCTTTAGTCCTGTTTCCAGATGCTGTTTTCTTAATTTCAATTTTGTTTGGATAGGATAAAAATCAGTATTAATTAAGAAACTGTCAAAAGCGGGGGAAAACAAGTACTGAATTGGACTATAGGGATCAAAAGTTCAAAAAGCTATATATAACCTCAGGTTTTCTTTACCAAATTGTGGGATACGGGCACATAAAAGGTAGAGACTCGGGTGAAGAAAAGAATGAGGAGATGGGACAAAATGAGGGAGGGGGTGCTTTATAAATTGGCAGACTGGTGCAAGATGAACTGCAGTCCAAGGAAGGAATGCTGACTGCTGTGTCTTCAGCTATGAATTAACCTGAAACATGATTCAAAACTATTAAACTGTCAGTCTCTTTACATAAATAAAAGATGATTTTATAGACATGAAGCTTACTTCATCCTGTTCTACAAGACTAATGCTTGTTATAAATATCTGTGACCTGTATTAGAAATTTTTCCTCAATCATTATTCCTGGACTTTATGTGTCTTGAATACCAGCTGGAAGTGGAGATTTGCAGGTGGTTTAGCTGTTACTGTATTTAAATATCACTCTAGTTTTCCTGGCCAACATGGATTTTTACAATGCTGTGAGAAAAGCAGATTCTCTTCCAATTCACAGCTTGCTTTAATCTGAAAGGTTATCTAGACAGACTGCTCAGTTGTGGAGGCTCACCTCTGGCTATTGGAATAATTCATAAGGATACGGTATTAGAGGGAGGAATGTGCTGTAAAACGGCTTCGAATTAACCTGGAGGAGGTGGTGAAAATCCTTTTAGCTTATCTGTGCCTGCGTCACTCCATGGCAGGGGGTTGATTAGATCTCAAATTGCTTAGATCTCTGTTGGGGGAGAGATGGTACCAGTGGGAGAACTGCTCTAAGATTCCAGCCCTACACTGCATTTTGCTGTGCTCTTGTAGTGTGCTGCTACAGTTGTGGGGGCTTGTGCTGAACATCAGCTGTATTACAGAATCACAGAATCTTCTAGGTTGGAAGGGACCTTAAAGATCATCTTGTCCAACCGTCAACCTAACTGACAAAAATAGACACCCGCACAACAAACAAGGAGCATCATCACTAAACCAGACCTCCCAGCACTACATCAACCCGTCTTTTGAACACCTCCAGGGATGGGGCCTCAACCACCTCCCTGGGCAGCCCATTCCAATGCCTGAGAACCCTTTCAGTGAAAAAATTTTTCCTAATATCCAGCCTGAACCTCCCCTGGTGTAACTTGAGGCCATTTCCTCTCGTCCTGTCGCCTGTGACTTGAGAGAAGAGACCGACCCCCACCTCTCTACACCCTCCTTTCAGGGAGTTGTAGAGAGCAATAAGGGCTCCCCTCAGCCTCCTCTTCTCCAGGCTGAATAACCCCAGCTCCCTCAGCCTCTCCTCATAAGACTTATTCTCCAGACCCCTCACCATCTTTGTTGCCCTTCTCTGGACCCGCTCCAGCACCTCGATGTCTTTTTTATGGTAGGGGGCCCAAAACTGGACACAGTACTCAAGGTGAGGCCTAAAACCTGCTTTTTTTAAAAACTGGACAAAGTACTCAAGGTGAGGCCTAAAATCTGCTTTTTTTTAAAAAAGAAAAAGTAGAATAGAAACGTTCTTGTGGATGTATACGCTTACACTGAGCTAACAGTCACCTCAGATGCAAACACATTTTGCATAACTTAACAGCATTAGGACATTGATTTTGAATGGTTACTGGCTAAATAGCATAATGTGATTTGTGTGGTCCACCTTGAGATGAAGCAAAAAATGTGTTATTATCAAGGGCGTTAATTTGAAAGGTGAAAAATACAAAGATAAAATTGTCTTGTTGTGTGACAGAGTTTGATGTAGGTTTATTTTTTTCATGCAGCATAAGAATAATAACAGCACAATGCAGTATTTTACAGGATGGATATCCTACTGAAAAATTATGAATGTGAAGAATTTCTCAAAAGTCACTGTAGATACCTTTCATCTCCCATGAGAAAGCACTTCTTTTATTTTTCTTTTTTTTTTCTTTAAACCCATCCTTTATATATATGGAAAGCTGTAGAATCAATGAGACATTTTTTTTTTTTTTTTTTTTTTGTTTAAACCCATCCTTTATATATATATGGAAAGCTGTAGGATCAATGAGACGTTTTTGAAGAAATGCTTTTACCATCCAGAATTCAGCATTCACTTCATTATGATTTTTTTCTGCCTAGTTTTTTTTAATTGGAGTGAAAAAATCAAGCATTTGCATTTAATGCAAAGGGGGGATGTTACCCTCTCCTGTGTCCCCCACCCAGCTTTTTGAAATGGCCAGAATTAATTCTTTAAAATATTTGAATACTTAGCTGTTCTTCTCTGGTTTTAGTTTTTTTTAGATATTTCAGTTCATTGGTCACATGCATTGATACTGGTTACATGTGTTTTGAAGTCTTAAAACTTTGAAACACAGTAAGTAAATAAAGTAAGATGCATACCAATTTATAGGGTGAAATTTTTTTCTTTTTCCAGAAGAGGTCAGCAGTACTCCATTTCTGATTTGAGACAACTTTCACGTTTCAAATTAATTTTCCTTTCTGTGACAGTGCATGAAATTCAGAGAATATAGTAAGAGTTTTTTCAAGTAAAGCTGTATTGGGCATACGTCTACTGGCTGAATTATATTTTTAAATCAAAAACGTAAATGGACTTAAGTTCTTTATAAAGCAATTTTAAATCTTCAGAGCATCTTTATTGCAGACGTGCTAGATTTCTTCCATTTTACTTGTAACTTTTGCAGAGTTGACCCTAAAGCTCTGATTGCCAGTGTTAAAATAGCAAGTATTTTTTTTAATTGCTCTTCTGCAATTTTGCATGTCTGCTCATAGCTATATTTCTGACTCTAGCCTGCCTAGAATGTGGTGAAATTTTCATTGCACTAACTGTGATAAAAGTGGGTATCTTTTGTAAAAACTGCTTTAAACTTGACAAATTCAGAATATACGTAGGGAAAAAGCAATGGCAAGTACAGATGCCAGATTTCTGCTGTCTCCTAACAGAAAGCTAGCATAATACTTTCCTATTAAAAAAAACCCCAAACTTCGATTGCTTTCATGTATTAGATATGATTAACTCTTTTGTTTTGAAAAATTACTCCGTTTTCTACTGCTGAAAGTTACTTTCTCCTCCTATTAAACTTCTCTGGGTGTGTGAAAGCTGGTTCAAGCCCTTAGTTAAGCACTGGTTGTTTGAAGATATTACTAGGGCTCTAGAATAAGAGAATGGTACTTGCATTGTATCATTCAGGTAGTACTTGAATTGCCCTAAATGTTGTACCCTGAATTTTTTACACATCAGTGTTTCATTTTTTGCGTTTGTAAAAAAACGTGTCTTTTTTCAGTGTGCTGATGGCAATACATCAGAGTCCTATATTTTGTACTGCATATTCATGAAAATGAAAAATTCTTACTGTTAAGAATTTGTCTGTACTTTTTTTTTTTCTATTGGAGAATGGAGGTGATGGTATTGTGGGGTTCTCTCTAGATCTGTGAGGTTCTGGAATTGCCATGTGTTTATTATAGTGTAAATTCCCAAAGAAACAGTGCTGTTGATCGTGTGAGAGGGACAGAAACCCCGTGTTGCAAAAGAAGCAGATGGGTTCTGGGCAAAGGCTAAAACTTAAAATTGGAAGGGATTGGAGGAATGCTTTCACAGAATCACAGAATCCTCTAGGTTGGAAGATCATCTTGTCCAACCATCAACCTGACTGACAAAAATAGACACCCACACAACAAGCAAGAAGCATCATCACTAAACCATACCTCCCAGCACCACATCAACCCGTCTTTTGAACACCTCCAGGGATGGGGCCTCAACCACCTCCCTGGGCAGCCCATTCCAATGGCTGAGAACCCTTTCAGTGAAAAATTTTTTCCTAATATCCAGCCTGAACCTCCCCTGGCGTAACTTGAGGCCATTTCCTCTTGTCCTGTCGCCTGTGACTTGAGAAAAGAGACCGACCCCCACCTCTCTACACCCTCCTTTCAGGGAGTTGTAGAGAGCAATAAGGTCTCCCCTCAGCCTCCTCTTCTCCAGGCTGAACAACCCCAGCTCCCTCAGCCTCTCCTCATAAGACTTATTCTCCAGACCCCTCACCATCTTTGTCGCCCTTCTCTGGACCCGCTCCAGCAAAATCTTTCAAAATCTTTATTTAAAAAGTCAGGATTTTTATTCATCTCTACTCCAAATTTAGCAATAGGATGTATCCTGTTGTTTCTTATGCGCAAATTAAAGAACCCTATAGTATTATTCTTTGATACAAGAGTCAAAGTGGAGTGCATATGTTCTGTTTAAACTCTATCAATTGTCGACAGGTCTTCGACACATCATTTGATCTGTCATTCATATAACAACAGCAGCAAGTGTACTCTCTAGAGTCTTAAGTGTTCCCTTTATGTCTGCATTAAACAACCTCTGTAAGCCTGTGCCTTCTTCCAAGTAGCATTTCCTATTCCTGCATCCAGTGTTTGGTTTAGGTATTGAAAAGGAATGAGTAGAAGTTCCCTAGGATGCTCTACATACGGTGTGTCCAGATCTCAAAGCATGGCTTGAGCAACGATAGGTACATCAACCTATAGATAGAATTAATGCACCTTTCAAAGAGTAAAACAGTTTGCCTTTTATGAATGTCAAGTTGAACATGAAAAACAACAGGTTTTGAACAAAAAAAAAAGCTCCTGCAGTTCTGGTTTTAATTATGATTTATGTAATTATTATCAGGTAATAGCTAAAAGAAAAGAAGATTCTGGAAAAATAAAACTCTTGCTTCATTGGACACCGGAGGACATGTGAGTATATTGCTAGTGATATGATACAGGATTTAAATGGGGAAGGATTTACAGTGGGGTAAATAAACTGTCACTAAAATGCATTATGCCTTTGAATATTTAAATTAAAATTAATGCTTTTTAAAAAGCAATTTAGCAATTTACTTTCAAAAAGTAATTTAGAAGTTTAAAAAAGTAATAAGTGATGCTTTAATTGATTTTTTTTTTTTTTTTTTTCCCTTGAGCTTTCAAGTCTTTAGACTCTGATACCAGTTCAAGTAAATCTGAAGCTGTGATTTTGATGGGTTTTGTCACTATGGGTATTAATAGCAAGGTCCTCTAATTATTGAATAGGGAGTTCAGGTTGGTTTTGCCAGCCATATACATAAGGAAGTTTGTCACTGAGACAGCTTTGTGTTACCCACTGATTCATCATGATCCTAAAATACTTTTAGGTACTGAAAATGTACAATCATCATTGTAACAGTAGAACTACAAGCATCGTTGCCTACATGCCACAATTTTAACAATATAATGACCACAGTTGGCCCTTTAAGGTGTCCATCTCGTATTGCTGCTTCTTTGGATAGTCCCACCAAAGCTTGGAGTACTCTTCTAGCATGTTTAACTGGGTTGTTTTTTTTTTTTCTATTGGTTTTTCAAAGTTCTGCCTTGTTCTAAATGAGTAGCCTTGTGTGTAATGCAGGAAGAGGTACTGTGCCCTTGGGTAGGCTTGGGACATATGAAATAGTAAATGTACTTTAGAAGTAATTTACTGCTTTGAAATAGCTGAGATCTCATATTTTTCTTCTGGCCCAGAAAAGAATTTATATGTAAATATTTTGATCTTAATTACATGGAAAAGTAGAATAAATGTTTGGTTTCTGCTATGCTGTAGGAGAGCAGTAGGCAGTGTAGTTTTAGGAGAGGCAGTAGCTGTATACTCCATGTTTCCACAAGCTTTAAGGTGAGTAACTACTTTTCCTTTTAAAGGTAAGAATAATTATAATGGAATTTATTTCTTGGATCCATACTCCTGCATATCGATTCCTGGATCCATAGTCCTGCATACAGATGAAGTTACTGGGACATTTAGTTCACACTAAGATGAATAGTTCCATAATTAGGTAGGTCAGGCAAGTTTAGAGGCTCTTTCTTAAAAGGAACTTCAGTTTTACTGGGAAGATATATCTAAATTGGTAAAATTCATTAGGTAGGGTTACATAAGTTTCTGATGAAATAGTCATGGTTCACGCAATTAACTTCTAGAACAAGGAGATCTTTTAGATTTAGTGCTGCTTTTAAGTGATGGAGTGTGATGGTGATGCAAAGACTTAACATAACAGAAATTCAACTTTGGTGAATTAAATTATTCAGTTTTGTAGTGTCCCAAATTAGTCATGTGCCGTAGCATGAACTTGGCAGTGTGATTCTTTTGTAACTTCTATTTGCAGAGGACTGGGGTTGCTGATAAGTTATCTGCAAACAGCAGTGTTTGCATTTTATTGCAATTTTAAAGTGTTAGTAGCTTTTGCTGCTCATTGCAGCAATTATAGGCTGCAAGTTTCAATTCAGCTTGGGAGAGAATAACTAAAATACTATAGAGAAAAGTGTAGGTTTTTTGCTAAAAATATATATGCAGGTAAATCTAATACCAGAATCTGTGCATTAGAGAAGACAAGTTATTCAGTAGTGTCAAGACATCCCTGATAGAATGTAGATTTGATTGGTCAGGTCAAAGAAATAGTTGTGTTTTATGTTTGGTATTTCTCGCGTCTTGGTTGGCTTAGGTAGAGTGTATATTTCCTGCACTTAATTGATATATTTTTGAATTATTGAGTATTCAGTATATTCAGTTTAATCTTGATTATTATAGTTAAGAACACCAAATGCAAGGTGTCACGGCTCATGTCATCCATCTGTCTTACACAGTGAACATACACTTTGAAAAGTTGTTGGCAGTCATGAGGATTGTTTTCCGTTGTGCTGAGCTGTTAGCAGCCTTTCAGATGGAGCTAGTAATAATGATTTAACTTTCTCTACTCTGAGTCATCTTGAGAAACTGTTAAACTGCTCTAGGTTATCTGTTCATTAAGTATTTTTTCAGGAAAAGTAAGTACTAGTCTTTAGCCCGCTTCCTATGCAAGAGGAAAATAACTTTCAAATCTTTTTTTTTAGAGCAGGAATTTATTCTATGTGCCAGTACTACTTAGCTTACTGAGTTCCTGTCTTTATCTATATTTCAAATAGTCTTTGTATGTGAAAAGTTTTCATATTTGCTGTTTGTATTGTTTTGCATCTTCAGCATATAGCTTCTATTAAAAATGCCTTATGAATGTTGCTTGTCAAAAAAATAATTTTGGCTTTACTTACCAAAAAAAAAAGCCTTATGAAGTTTTTTCACCTTTTATGATCCACATTAAAACTTTAGTAGATAAATGGATTGCCTCATGGGTGGCTGACCCTCCCCACCCCTTTTTTAATTTCTTTTTTTATTCTACCTGCATCTGAAAATTATCACTGGAGAAATTCTTTTTTCCTGCTGGCACAGAATTTCTCTGTTTCATTTCATTTTTTGGATGGCTTACCCAAAAGATTTGAGTTACAGCTAACTTTTCTAGCTGAAAAATAGCAATTCAGTTTAATAATTTGTAGAAGTCTAAAATTGTGTATCGCTTTAGTCAGAGAAAGAACTATTTAAATAGTCTAAAACGCTGAGTTTCTCAATTTGAAGCTTGTTTTAAAATGTTTAGAATTCTTAATTACAAACTTTTGGCAGGAGGCAGGGAAGTGGGTTTTCAGTAGGACATGGATGGCCCCTGCAAGCCCAGCACCTCTCGTACCAATGTGTTACCTGAAACCCTCAGCAGGGCCTTAAAAACCCAATGTGCTTTCAGTAAAAGAAGCAATAATGCAATAAGCCACTCTGGAGTAGGCATGTTTGCTTTTGAAGAATTAAAATACAAAACGTAGATCAATTGCATATGTTATCTCAGCCCCCCTTCCCCATGTTTTATGGCAAGTGGCAGTGAAGCAACAATTCCTTTTAATCTGTAAAGACCGAGTTTTCTTCCATCTCACAATGACAACTGTTACACAGCCAAAATATTGTGGTGATTGCCTGGTTTTTCTCAGAAGATAATCAAACAATTAACTTCAGTGAAGTTGGAGCATTTTGACATTGAAAGCTTTGAACTTGGAGCAAGCAAATTAGTGTAACTCAAAGCTCAGTGCCTGCAGTATTTCTGGTCTTTACCTTTTTTGACAACATCAAAGAATTTTATGCCCAGTAAAATAAAGTCTTTTCAAAGATCTGGTTTGGGTTTTGTTTTTTGTTTTTTGTTTTTGTTTTTGTTTTTAAATTTTTTTTTCCTGCTACCCATTTTCACATTAAATTGTTAAAATGGAGAATGTAGTGCCCTTGTCATTGTATGTTTGGTTTAGTATTCTTCTGGAATAATCCAAATTCTGTTTAGTATCTTTTTCATATTGAGAACTTGAAAAACTTTGATGTATAATGTGTAAAGATTGGCTGTCTTTTCCTCACTCCAGTGAAGATTCTTTTTAACCAGTGAAATGTGAAGATTACTTAAAAAAAACTTCATATGTACTAGTTTACCGCATAATTTAATGGTAAGAAAAACGATTGATCTTTTTTGAATATTTTTATTTTATTTATTTATTCATAGTCTGCCTGATGTGTGGGTAAATGAAAGTGAGCGACATCAGTTAAAAACTAAAGTAGTTCATTTATCAAAACTACCAAAAGATACTGCCTTGCTTCTGGACCCAAACATATACAGGTAACATCCTAATTTTGAAACTTTCTTTACTTAAATATAGTCTTAAGCCTCACTTAACTTTTTGACGTTGGAAAATCGGGATTGCAAATGCATTATACACCACAGCAGGGAGCTTTGGTCCTGTCAGCGTCCAGGAGTTAAGTTCTGAGGTCTTAAGTTGTTTCAGAATTACTTAACTTCTTGAACTGAACTCTAGTTACTGAGAAACGGGGAATGTGTGTATTTACCAAGTGTATTTTACTTTTTTGTGCTTGGTGTACAGAAATTCTAGTAAAGGAGGTACATACAGTGGAATCCTGAAAGATCACTTCTGTTAAGATCACATACTGGTTTGTATACCAATTTTTTTAAAGTCCAAATTTATCTTTACATATTTTATATTCAACTGTAATACATGCAGTATTACCTTGAAATCTGTACTTGTATACAAGTACTGTTATTTTTTAATACAAGATTCTATAGAGGGGGACAGAAGGGGACAGTACGTGTTACTTGTCTTTAAACTGCATTCATATTTGTGTTTTTAGGATTTCAGATTGGCTTCTAATCCATCTCGTTTCTAATTTCCTGATTTTTTTCCCCCCTCTCTTTATTAGTGTGTTCACATAATTGTTCGTACCCACAGTTCTCTGTGTGTACAGTTTTTAAAGGTAATCTGAAATGCTTAATTCACTCTTAAGCTTTTGAATGTCCAAAGACACATATTTATGGGCTTAAATTAAAAATTCATGAAAATGGGTCAAAAAAGAAAGCTTTTTCTACCATAACAGAAGTTCAGTGTTCCTATGTTTCTTCCTTAACATCCAGTGACCTGTCCTTTATATAAAGGAGTAACTAGAACACTAATCTGAGGTCTTGATAAGTGATAAGCCTTTCAGTTCACCTTTAATATTCAGTGTATTTCACTAATCAAATTAATGAATACTTGGTTTGCAATATGAAAATAAATCATCACACTATATCTGCTATCTTTGGTAAATGTAAATTTAAAATACTTACTATAGTGTATGAATTACTGATGTTAACAGTAAATCATAAAAATGTTATGAGGAAATCAGATTGTGCGTTTTTAAAACTGCTTAACACAGTGACTGTTTTATAAGCTAATTTAGGTGTTAATAATATTTTGTATTGATTACCTTTGCAGAACTTGAGAGATTAGTTTGATTTGAAAAGGAAAAAAATAACCTTTTAAAATAAAAATGTAATGATCTTTGGGATTAGGTCCGTGGACAAAAATGAGCAACCCCTTCTGCCTCTCCCAACTAAAATTAAGGTCCCCTCACGTAACGTTGTGCTGGGTTTTTAGCAGTATAGAGGAGCTTATGATTAAAAAGAGCTGTGGGACCAACTGTGGGAGAGCAAAGAAATAAGGTTGAAAGACCAAAACATTGCAAGGGGAAAAATTGGTTGAGGGAATTCAGTGACAACTGTTAATGTCGTGCTAAAATGATGACTTCAGTAGAAAGTTTGAAATAATTATTTGGAGTGTACGCTAACGTGGGATCATCTAAAATGGTTTTCTGTTTTAATCAAATTGAGCGAAAGTCAAGATTTTATAGTATTCTCTGACTCAAATTTACATGTTGGGGTCTTTTATGTAAAACAGTACTGTCTTCTTTTACAGAACAATGCCCCAGAAGAGGTTGAAGAGGTAAAAACCAAGCAAGTGGGGACACCTGCAGTCTTAGTCACTGACAATGGATTTAGAAATAAAGTTGCACATTAGTCAAATCCCATCCTTTTTTTTTTTTTTTTTTTTCTTAGATAAATATTTATGCTTAGTGTAAACATTCTGTGAATGAAGTTGATGCTTCCGTGGAATATATTAATATATTACTGTATATCCACATTTTCATGGAATGGTACAGTGGGAGACTGAGCGAACACTCTTCTGGCAACTTAGTGGAACAACTGAAAGGCTTTGCATGCTTGCTTCTTTAAGCTGCTTTTTTCTTTAGTGAATACAGTAGTTTCTATTTGATGAAAAGAAAAAGTAACCATCACCATTTACTCACAACTCCCAGGAGAACTGTTAACGAGCTATTAGGCTTCTTGTCAATGTTAACTAAATATACCACACGCCAGACAATAAAACGGCTACCAAGGGATTATCCTCTTGCCCTTTGAGTATGGTGGATAGTAATCATTCGTCATTTGTAACCTCGTGTCCTTTTGCAGATCCCTAAACTATGTTGGATTATAATGTTTAAACAAATGTTGATGGAATGCTTGTCTTTTCCAATCAACTCTGAATACATATAGTACGGTTTCAAGATGTTAAGAGTGTTGCAGTATGTCTGACCCCCTTTTCAGGAGTAGTATAGTATGTTAATGAGATCTGCTTCTATGTGATCCGCATCGATGGACGGTTTTTGAAAAACCTCTACTTAAGCAGTTAGTGTTAGCGGTGTTTTATTTTTACTTTTTTTTGACCCTTTAGGATCCCCATTCACTTGTAAAGTATACTTTTTTTTTTATTTGGCCTAATGTTTTCTAGATGTAAAGAAAATGGTATTTTTAAAAAAAAAAATAATCTAGAAATTCAATCCTTTATGCACCAAAGTTGGCTTTGAAAAGGAAAGTAAAATCATTTTCTTGCTTAATAAGCAAGAAGCCATGGATTTTTGTAACTGACAAATAGAGATGTGTCTAACCTGTTAGTCTTTGTATGGAGACAAAAATGTTGCATATAGATAATAGGACATTGCTTGTAAATATTTCAGCAGATTTGTAATATATTTTTATATTATGAAATGTACTGTAGATGTTTTTCTAGAGGCATGAAAGTTAAAATGTATATATTACGGTAGAAATAATATTGAAGGATATTGTAATTCACTAGTGCTGCCAGAAGAATTGTTTAAAAAAAGCACCTTCCTTAACAATAAAAAAAAACCTTCTTTTACATACCTAAGGGACTATATACTACTGTTAATATCTGTTGTAAGAACAAAAATACATTGAACATCCTTCCCAGAAATCTTAGAGGGATGAATAGTACCCATAATTAATTCATGGCGCTCCTTTCTAATAGTGAACATGAAATTAGTTTTTTCCTTACTATTGGAAGGAACTAATATGTAAAATTTGTATGGATATATGCAGTCAAACTGCAGAGTTAGTCCTCCTTATTGGGGAGGAATTTACTACAGTGAAACTAATAACCAGCAGTTTTTACACTAAATTTTTATTAAATAGAATAAAACTTAAAGTAACCTTTTGGTTGCAGAAGCGAGCATATCCTAATATAATACAAATGCATTCTGCATTGGTACTGACACGAGAGTCTTGCTTAGCTCCAATGGGTTAAAAATTTTACTTATATACACAAAAGAAAAATCTTATCAAACAAAATGAAGTGCAGATTAAAAGCACCACTAATATAAGATGTTCTGGAATGGTTGTTTAATAAGGGTATTATTCATAAAATCTGTAGTGATGTGACTTTATTTTTGAAAAAAATGCAGTGTTTTGGGGTTTGTTTTTTTTTTTTTTTTTTTGCTTAAGCACTTCACCTACTGCTTTTTCTGTACCTATAAAGTAATCCGTAATCTTTGTTTCTTTTTTTTTTGGATTTGTTATAAAATTGCCAAATAGAAGTGTTTCAGATATAGTTTGTATTTGTATTTTTTTAATTTTATTGCTTCATGAGTTTCTTGTAAGTCATTTATAATTGACAGATGATTGTAGACCTTGCCTGAGTATTTTTTCTAATAAAACAAAGCAAACAAACTAATTAGCTTCAAAATTGTAACATTTCAATGAAGTTTTCAAAGAGAAATAGAAAAATGCCACGATCTCTTTATTTCCTCTGTAAGCAGTAGCACACATACCTTTAGGAAATGGGGAAGTCATGGATTCAAGTCATGTCTTACTCATACAGACTGTGATGTTCTTTTCTTGGGTTTGAGAAAAAGATAATCTAATGTTCTCATGGTACAGCTTCTGCCTTGGAAGGAGAAATCAGTTTAAATTCAAAACAATGAACAAATGGATATATTGGAATTAATTAAACTTGCCATAGTAGTAGTCAAAAGGTAAGCAGAGTTTTGGCTGGTTTTTACCTTGAAATTATCAAAGTGTGTTGCTAAAACTATGCTTGAAAGTTGTTTACGTTCTCCAAAATATGTAACTGCTCTGTGGTTTTTTATGTTTCAAGTGACAGTAGTGTCACATTGATCACTTTGTTCTGAAAAAATCTTGCTGCCCTTATTCTTGAAAAGTGTTAATGAAATAATTGCCCCCTCCCCTTTTGAGTAGTTCCATGTCCTTTCTTTTAAGATGTAACGTATAGAGGTTTCCCTTTGTCGTTCTCAAGAACATTCTTTTTAATAGTGTTTACAAATACCTACCCAAAATAAACACACTGCCTGGGAGGGAATGCATTCTTTGTAGAGAAATGTCACCAAGACAAACCTGTAGCTGGTTTGACACTTGGCTGCAGTCTGTTTGCAGGCTGCCTTAATGAGTAACTATATAAATACCCTAAATTTATACTTCTGTGATTAGAGATTCTGTATTAGCTTTAACACATTATAAAATTACTCATTTTACAGGTAAGGTTAAATCATGGGCAAGTACACTGGAGTGTGTATTCCATGAGAAGAGGCTGAGGGAGCTGGATGAGTTCAGCTGAAACATAAGTTTCTCTGATTTACTGTGATTTTTTTCAGATTTTTGGCTGAATTGCACAACATGCAGCACTATGTTTTTCTCGCCTTCTGTGTTTTATTAAGTAATAAGTAGTTTCCAATTTAAATTGCGTATTAAATCTGAACCAGCTTCATTTGGGAACATATAGATTGCTTATGTTTAAATCTGCGTTGTTTTTAATAATAGGAATTTAAGTGGTTGATTTCTGTTCCTTTCAGCTTTTCAGTGTAGCATGTGAATTGATTATCAGAGAAAATCAGTCGTATTTAATACTTCTGAAATTGATTTATCCTCACTTAATGCTTTCTTGCTGTGACACTTTAAACTTGCGTATGAATGTAACTATTTCTCTTGTCACATTAATGTTTGAAAAGTAAAACTTAAAAAAAACCAACCTCATTGGGAAAGCTGGCTTTTAAAAAAGCAGCTGAACCTATTGTTTCTTGTGGTCATTTTCTGTAAGTTATTCCGTGAATGGCTCCTATATGTACATGGCTCTGAAAGTAAAATAAACAGTTTGAGCCCTAAAACAAGATACTCTAAACAAAACATTCCAGCTGCTGAAGATGATCTTAACACCGTGTAGATTTTCATAGTCAAGTAAAGATGCCTTTACATCTCTTAGTTATCCTGGTGTTTACTTATTCCAAGCAAAGAATACTCTTTGTAAACTACATTGCACCAACTTTTTTAATAAAAATTTCTCGATTGCATATTTTGAGGGGGGAAAAAAGCCCCACCTGCACTCCTGTTTTCAGCAATACAATGGGGGAAAATATTTTAAGAATACCTGTCTGTTCATGCCTTTTCAATAAGGCCCCTTCTAAAATTCTATGTGCTTGCAATTATATAAACCAAATTGAGACTATGAAATTGAATGCTCATATTAATACAGCTGTAGTCGTGCGTATAATGAGAAGAATAGGTATAAATGTTAGAGGGGAATTGCTCAGAGTCATGTTTTTATGAGAAGAATTATTACAGTGTTGAAGGGCTTCGCTATTGTAATCTCTATTATAATTTTGTTTTCTAACGTAGGATGAATTAAAATCTAACCAAGAATAAAACCTCATACTCCTGGAAGATTAAGATTTTCAATCATCTGTTCTTTTTCTCTGAGTATGGCTGACAAACTAGAAAAAATAACTAGATTTAGTTATGCTGTCAAATCTCAGGTTATGTCCTGGAGGGGGTGAAGCAACAGAGGGTAATATTTTGTGTTTAAAGCAGAACATTGGTTCCAGGAGACAGGAGCTGTGAATTTATTCCTTCAGGTAAGAAAGTGTGGTGGTGAGTGGAGGCCAGTGTTGCAACCTTTGTTTTTAGATTTTAACTGGAAATGGCAATTCTCTGAGAATTTACTTTCCTACTGTATTAGAGGACTTTTCCTTACAGTGAAAAATTGTCCCCAGAAGATATGTCCTTGTGTCTGAATCTTTATATTACAGTATACAGTACTCTGTCCAGTAATCTACAGAGTGTGTACGTTTGGGGTTTGATGGAGCTTTATCGAAATCCCCTGTAATCACTGCTTTGTGTTTTTCTTCATTTTAATGAAATGTATAGTTGGAATACTGTTGTCTGCCCCTTATTGCTTTGTAATCCTTAAGAATATTCACCAACTTTCTTATGTTTTCTGTCCAGTACTTTCCATACTAATCCATTTACACTGGGTTATAGCGTGCAGTAGTACAAGTAGAGAGGTGGACCAAAGTAAAGTTCATCATGCACCCATAAGTCTTGTGTGCCCTAATTTTTGAAAGCTCGTTTTGCAGCCTGGTCTTAAACTACTTCTATCTGTAATTTCTTAAATGCTTGAAAAATACATGCCAATTCCAGAATATAGTGTCGTAACATCATTTTTAGGGGTGATTAGCAGAGCTGGGAGTATCTGTTGATACAGATCTGATGTCCTGTGCTTAATTTTTTTTTTTTCTGCTTTCCAATATTTTAAGGCAAAAAAGAAAAGCAGTTTTCTGATGTAGCTTATTGTTCTGATCCAGTCCTGTTTTGCTGTCAGCTGTACACCAAGTTTCTCGTATTTATTTCCCCTTCTCCCTCATGTACGTACTTGCACTTCAATCTCTGGTTCTTTTCTAGAGAAGAGTTAAAATCAAGATGTCTTTGATGTGTAACTTACCTCAGACTAAGGAAATATAGTTCTAAGTGTAAAGAGAATAAAATTATGTTGATTGCATACTGAAAGTGGGCTGTTTGTTGACAGCCAGTTAGGGAGGGGTAAATTCCATTTTTGCAAATTTTTGCGAAGATGAACGCGCTGTGATTTATGCTACATTATTTCTTTTCATTAATTCTAAAAACGGCCCTTTTCACTCGTGTAAATCCTCCTTGGTAGTAGAGCACGAATAGTAGGTAATATGATCTATCTGTTTACTTCATCCCGGATGAGAGATAATTGCTGATCAGCAGGCCCTTGGGTTGGCTTGCTTACAGAAGATTTGAGTACTGTCTACTGGATACTGTTCAAAGGTTTTGTCAAATTTTAATATCCTTTTGTCTTAGTACTTTGCCCGTGTTTGTAGTCTCACTGGAGGATAGAAGATTCCCTTATACATTTACTCCGAGGACCTGAGACAGCCCTTTTGAATAACAAAGGGAGGCAAGGAAATGTAGAGTTGGTGATGGTTTGTTGCTGGGGTTTTTTTAGGGGGGTGGTGATTTTTTAATTGGGTTTTTTTTACTTGAAAGTGTACAGTTGAGTTGTACTTAAGGAGAATGTTTATTGTATTAAGGAAATAGGTGAATCTAAATGGAAACGTTCCACTTAATATAATACTTGTGAGAACACTGCTTTCAACAATGTCAAGCAAAAGGCGTGAAGGATATTTCACCCTAAGTTCCTGAGGGACTTACAAAATACTTGACCACTAGTAACATGCAACATCTTGACAGCCAAAAGTCTACTTTTGGCCAAACTACTAGAAAGAGTCCAGCGAAGGGCAACAAAGATGATTCAAGGATTGGAGCATCTCCCTTATGAGGAGAGACTGAGAGAGCTGGGACTCTTTAGTCTGGAGAAGAGAAGGCTGAGGGGAGACCTTATCAATGCCTACAAGTATCTCAAGGGAGGGTTGAAGGAGGAGGGAGCCAGACTCTTTTCAGTGGTTCCCACCGAGAGGACGAGGGGCAACGGGCACAAGTTGGAACATAAGAGGTTCCACTCAAATATGAGGAGAAACTTCTTCACGGTGAGGGTGACAGAGCCCTGGAACAGGCTGCCCAGGGAGGGTGTGGAGTCCCCTTC